GAGCCGCTTAAAGGCCCGGGTGTCGTTAAAACCTCAAATGACACAGACAGCCGGCGGCCACTCCCTTCACCGGGATCTTCATCTTCATCTCCATCACCTTCTTCACCTTACACACATCGCTAACGTACGCTTTAACGTGAACCTCCATCCTTCATCGTGTCGGTCCAGTCACGTGTACCGTTAGTGTGCGGTTGGGACCATCACTTCGGTTGTACCCATTGTGGTTGTATGTTGAATTAAAAGCCAACGTCTAAAGCTGGATCATTCATTTAACGTTAAATTTTTCATTAACTGTAATGTCACAGCATTTTTTTTATTTTTATTTTAAAAAGAAGAATTTCTACACGCCTACCTGCATTTAAAAAAAAAAAAAAAATAAAAAAAGTCTTTTAAATTTAATCCTGCTTATCTGCCATCATCTTGTCTTTGTGTGTGTGAAACCGGAGACACCGGGACACCGTGCCAGAGCAGATACATGTAAACGAGAAGGTCAAGCTATTTAACGTGTGGTCTTGATTTGTTAAGTAAAAAAAACTGATGAGGAGGTGATGAAGACAACAGGGAGCAACCAGGGAGGTAGTCATTTCACACTATGTTAAAATATGAACGACAGCATGCCAACACACACATATACATATATAAATATATAACGTTTATCATATCTGCACTTAACCGTTACTGGTTTAAACTGTAACGGTCAGTTGACAAGCAAGTCCAACGGCTGCTTCAAACTTGAGAGAAATCGTACAGAAAACCTCCTATTATAACTTAACCGGCGGTTTAAACTCACTCCGCTGCGGTAAAAACACTAAACAAGCACACGTATATTTAAAAGAAAACGCATTTAAAATACGATTAAAAAAACTTCACTCGGCAGTCGCCTCTTACCTGTGTGAGGGAGGGTTCTCGGCTTAAGAGGACTGTTACTGAGCGCTACACTCCGGTAGGGTTTAGTGTCGGGACTTGACTGCAATGGAGGCCAATAAATTGCAGGGTTTTATCAGAGCTCGTGCTGCAGCCCCTCTCCATAAAAGGAGAACTTTCCGCACGGCGCCCTCTGATTGGTCCTGCCGCATCCACTGGGTGTGGCGCATGCAGATAAGGGTTCTGCTGCTCTGACAAGACCAGAAAACTAACCTGTATTACTACCAATATTACCAATCTGCAGGGGCTCAAGTGTTCAATAAAACGCTTAATAATTATTATATATGTATATGTGAATACATTTTTTTGTCATCGTTATTATAATTGCAATGAGGGGTGCACAGGTGGGCAACAAATCACAGCTCCAGCTGCACAACACAAGAATCACAGTATGACATAAGTTGAATATGTGCTTTTATGTATTCTTTATGCTATTATATGAACACATTTTGATGTATTTCAGTCTATACTATAGTCGGTTTAATCCCTGGCATCATCCACATTGAGAAAGGGCCTTACATATCCTGGCTACACAAGCTTTTAATCACATTTAATTAATATACCCATGATAAATGTCTTTTTTTCTGTGCTTTGGAGGAAGATAAAAGCCCAAAGAATGCAGTCAAACAGATCCATGATTTATCTCATTTAAGTGAAGGTCATAAAGGAATGCAACAGGACTGGATTGCACTGAAGACTGTGCTAATTCTCTCACTCATGGCAGATACTCGTGGTTAGTAGTGCCAGGACATGAAGTGGTTACAATATCAGGGTCACTGACAGCTCTGTTAACACCCTGACTGACACGTCTGCCCTGGCATACCAGTGTCTCACACCCACACACACCCCCACACACACACACACACACACACACAGCGCATAGTGAGAACATGTGTTCGAGCTGTGGTATGTTTACAGCAAACACTTAGGAAGCTGTAAATCTGTTATCTCTCATCACTTGCCTGGTAATGTTTAAGTGAGCGTAGGGGGCATATTAACCTTGCTTGTCTCAGTGATAGATAGAATAGACAGGTGTGCAATTTCCGGAAACATACCTATAGTTGGTGTCAAAATGCAACTGCGAGGCCTATTATGAAATGGTCATTTATGAATGTGACTCACTTTTAATATGCATTCACACACCTGCTCACGCACACACCCAATTATGTCACACAAGAGAACTCCTTGTGCGTCTCTAACCTGAAATACTTGTTTAGATATATGTATATTTATATATATAT